ATGTATAGGTACTTAGTCGGCAGTTAGTCCTACTATATATTTGTCAATAAAATATACAACCAATTGACAACAACAAGAAATATTATTTTTTAACCACCTTTCTTCCATTGAAAATTCCTGAGTATGCATCTGACCTCTACTGTAACAAAGGATAATTTATTATTTATTCAAACCAAAAAATGTATATAATCAAATTTAAAAATTTAAACAAGTTCTCCCAAAGATAAATACAATTTAATTAAAAGTAAAAAATTTTACTATTTACCAACTTGTTTTTATTTTTCAATTGGACGGACAATATTTTACTCTCCCTTGTGGGACTTACGTTTTAACCACTAAAATATAATATGTAAACAAGGCCGACTAATAACGAGTGGCGATTAAAGACGTGACTAATACTTAAGACTTAAAACGTGTTAGCATACGATTGTATAGTATTCCAATTTAAACTTATTTAGTGTTTTGAATACTTTCAGAGTATATAACTTTCATATTACATATTTTTTTCATAATATTTTGTTCCGATTTTAAATTTTATATAAGGATTAAATTATCCACAAAACGGAACAAAAAGTCCACCGAGAGGAACAAAATATCCCCGCGGAACAAAATATCCCACTAGGACATTTTGTTCCATTTTAGGATTTTTTGTTCCACTATTAATGTTTTTGAAAGGATCACATTATTCACAAAAAGGAACAAAAAGTCCACCGAGAGGAACAAAATATCCCCGCGGAACAAAATATCCCACTAGGACATTTTGTTCCGTTTTAGGATTTTTTTGTTCCGCTTTTGATTGTTAAAGAAAGGAACAAAAAATCCTACTTTATTTTTGTTAAAATATTAAAAAGGATCAAAATGTCTCCAGAGAAGAACAAAAAATCCAAAAAGGGAACAAAATATCCAAAAGGGAACAAATTAATCCGCGGAACAAAATATCCACGGAACAAAATATCCCAACACCTGTTCATTATACTATACAATATATTATAGGTATGTGGTCTTAACCAAACGAGCCCTGGCAAAACCGACGGCCGTGCGCGTCTTGAGTGCGCTTCGACGGGCGGACGACGACCGCGAGTGCCTATTATTAATTATATATAATATATTATACACGCGAGCGAAGTCCTCGTCCCAGACGATGTTTGCCGTTTATGTCGGTGTACAGTGTTTGTGTCTGTACATTGTGTGACGTGCAAGTGACGTACACCGCGCGAGTGTTAATATTATAATAAATAAGTGTTGTACCGAAATGACGTATATTGTTTCAACAGGCGCCGCGATAACACAATGCACATTATTATAATATATTGTACCATACTATCCCCTTGTTCTTTTTTTTGTGGCATCGAGGAGGACCGAATGGCATCGAGCACCTGGAGTACTTACACGTAAATGTTGAGGGCGAAAGGTAAAAGTTTTATTCGATTTCGATCGAAGTATATTACAGTTTTTGCCAAGACTGCAGACGTGTGCTGCCTTGCTTATAGCACCGAAGAAGTATTTCGTTGCTCAAAATATATATTATGGAGACGGATCGCAGAATCGACGAAATGTGTATTGATCGGGATGGGGTGAAGTTTGTCGAAGACTGCTCGATCCGCGGTAAGGCCTATGATTTTTGTGGAACGAAAACTTCTCCTCGCTTTAGCGTGAAATGCCTATACCACAGTTCCAACTGGAGAGCGAGTGCAGCGATTGTGTGACTGGGTGGGTGGGCGTAAGACGCATAAAAACGTCAATACTCAGTTTTTCCAGTTGTTTATCTCCCTCCCCTCCCACCAGTAAACGAACAGACGTTAGAATATGATTATCGTCCGTTGGTGTCGAAGTCTTCGTGTTTTTCTTTTAAATCGGGTCAACGTCGCCGGTTTCCGTGTACACTGCGCAGTGTTTTGCATAACAAAATAATCTCGGAATAAAAACTTTGCACATTTTCACAAACGTTTTTATTTGCATTGACATTTGACGTACATTGTGCTGGGAGTTGCGCTATTATGTTTTTTTTAAAGTCGCTACGATGGGGTCCTAATTTAATTTTTCGAAAAATTGTGTATACGCACCTACTATAATTTAAAGTCATTGTTAAAAGTCTAATGACATTCTAGTTTTTATATTCAAGTAGTAATTCCCACCTGCAGTATAAAATCACCGGACTGAGCAGACAGACAAATAGGAGAAATACTATATTATTATTCGCAAATGTACCTAATATGTTATATTTTTGATTCGAGTTAAATATGCGTTTAACCGTTCGAAATACCAAGGTATGCAATTTAACGCAGTTTATTTGTTCGATAGTGAATAAAATGCATTACATAATATACATTTTTCGTTTCCATATACGTTAGCTTCTCCACACAACATACATCTAAAGTTTTCGAATCGAATTAATTTGTTTTAAGTCGTTTTATTCAAGCCGACAGTTGTTCACTTGTGGGCGAGTTTTTTGAACGTCGTGGAAGGTAATCGAGTTCCGCTGACAAAACATTTATTTAGCGTTCAAGAGTCTTGCAGCATGTACAGCCGCGGGTTTCGAACATATTATTATAATATAGCGTTGTGCATAAAACGATTTTTTTCCTGAACGCATAAATCATGTACAAAAGTTCAAAGAAATGGACGGGCGAAATTTTATTTTGAATATATTATACGATACAAAAGCTTGTCGGCGACGAATTCCAGAGAATAACATAATTGCGAGCTCGAATTCGAATTACACATTCGCGAACATCCAGAGGATTGCGACCTCTGCTGCGTCCAAAGCTCGGGAGGATATTGCACACACACACACACACACACACACACACACACACACACACACACACACACACACACACACACACACACACACACACACACACGCACAATCAAAGATATTATATTATATATTATACTTCAAAAAACGAATTTTGCTGCCTTTCCAAATAACCATATTGTATATAATATATATGTATTATGTACATATTGCACACGTATATATATTATAACATGAATTATGTCGAACGGGAATTCAAAAATTATTATTTTGCGCTTACCCTTATGGCGAGAATTGGCTGGTGGGTGTCGGTAGGGTCGGTCCGAAAGAGGTATACAATAAGCTATAATATTTGTAATATACGATGCGCCCAAAATAGGTTTTATACTATAAGGTACGTAATATTTTATATCCTCGAAATATGCGCGTTTTCCTTTTGTCACATTATTTCGACGCTTTTCCGCGGCAAACAGTCAAAAGTCCGCTGTTACATAATAGTCGTTACCTGCTGCTGCTGCAGATATACATTGATATCATAATATCATAATATACAGATCGATCCGTTCAAAGTTTAGACGTGCAGAGAGTGGGGCACTGGAAATTTGCACGATAATAATTATAAATTACAGTGCTCCAGAACCTTTGGGATGAAAACTAAAAGTCACCACTCGCCGTCAAACATAAAAAAAAAAAATTCAAATCAGATTGGTTTGTTACCACCGAAAATAATAACTATACCTCCGTGGCCACCGGTCAGCTCCTCCAACCCATAGAAGTGTATACTTAATACCGTTCTGTTTATACGCATTATTAAATTGCTGTCTCTCCGACTACTGTATATAATAACAACATTATATTATTATTGTCTTGTCCGCGCACGTTTCGCGCTTTGTATTTCTCTTATTTTCCTTAAGTCCAAAGCATCCGGCGTGTCGTGCATCATCCGAACGGCAGCTGTGCGACCGTTCGCTTTGCCGGTCTCGTTTTCGGCAAGTGCTTTTTAATGAACGTCGCTTGGCCCTGTCAAACTCCGTTTTAATTAAACTCGTCCGCGCGAGAACGTCTCGAAACGTCATTGTCCGCGAGGAAACAAATACACAACTACAGTACACTATAGATATTCGTCATTTTTCATAATTTTTTGTATTTTCATTAAAAATAAATCACAATCATCGTTTTGTACATTTCATATTATATAATTTCGTTTTTATCTTTAAAATTATAATAATATATCGTTTGTAAGTATTGCAGTGTGTATTAAATATTTTAATGTAGGTACACACTTTTATTATTTATACAATTATATTCTGAATGAATGAATGTTTTTTAATCGTGAACTGGGTAATATAATTGTAGTCTGTGATGTGGGGGTGGGGAATTTTAAACAATTTTTTTTGAACCATTAAGAACGACACTATTTAAAAATTTTCTAAGATTACCTATATTAAATGTAGTAGTTCTTATGAAAATATGAAAACAAAAAAATTCAATTCCTCAAGTTTTCTGCAGATATATTGCAAGATTCACGATAAAACAATCATTCAGCATATTTACATGACACGTAAAAACAACAATAAAAAAAAAAAAAACTAAAACAGGATAGAATAATAAGCATCACATAGAATATCGTGATGTAATCGTAAATTATAAACAGATATACATATATATGTATATAGTATATACCGTGTGTCCTCGAAAACCGGGTACACTAGGTTACCTAAATTACTCGATATACCCTATACATATTTTAGAATTCTGTCTGCGGGGGATTGATGACCAGACAATCTAGTTTCATGTCCCGAAAACAGAATTCTAAACACAATGTATAAAGTACACCGAGTAATGTGGGTAGCTTAATTATGCAGTGTGTAACACTGTTTTCGAGGACAAGCGGTATAAACCTGTGGACACGATATAATAATAATAATAATAATAATAATAGCAATAATAATATTAATAATAATAGGTATGTACAAAATAACGCTTTTCTCGGCGCGTGTATCTCTCTCTCAAATTCATAGCTCGCTCAGATAGCTTGCGGCGCTACTGTGCGGAGTTTTTCGGGTTAGAAATATAAAAATAATAAAACATATGATATATGATCGATAATATAAAATAATGTTATCGCATGTAAATCGTCCGAACAAAAACGATAAACGACGGCGAAATCGATCGATAGGAATAGTATAGGGTTGTAGCCGAAAGCCGACGAGGATGTGCGATTGGCAGCAGTGGAGGACCTTCAGACGAGCGTAGGTTTGTCGGGTACCGGCGGCGGTTGCTGCGGCGGACGGTCTTCGGCGGTCGATCGCAGGTCGGTCAGCTCGCAGTAGATGTCCGTGTACGATTCGTCGTCGCGCACATTTCCCGCGCCGCCGTACAAAAAGTCCACCGGGTCCACGTAATCGCTGTTGACCGACGGCGACGGAGACGGCGGTGGCTGCGGCCGGCGACCGTGGTGAACCGCCACTTCGGTGGACGCCCCCGCCCCGGCCATCTTGATCCTGGGCGTCCGGAGTCTATCCAGCGACGGCGCGCCCGTGCCCACCGACTTGACATCCCGCTGCCGTCCGTCACCCGCGGCCACGGCCTTGGTCGTCACCGTGGACGTCATGTCGTCCAGCCCCCCTCCGCCGGCCGAGTACCAGCCGCCGCCGACGCCGCTGTCGCCGCAGCAAGTCTCCTCCACCCGGATCAGGTCGTACAGGTGTTCGATTATGCCTCGGGCCTCGGCGTAGTCGTCCGGGTCGTCCAGTTTGTCGCGCAGGTTCTGCAACATCTCGTGAGTCAGCTCTTCCGGTATCGTCTGCGTGCCCTTGTCCTGGTATACGATCACCCGCATGGCGCCAACGTCGCTGCCACAGCCACCTCCAACGCCTCCGCCCAACTTGAGCCGCTGCAGTTCGGTGTACTCGTGCACGGACATCCGGGACAGCGAGTGCGCCGAAATGGTCCTGCAAGCCGTTCCGGCGCCGCCACCTCCACCACCTCCGCCATTCGGGGTGAGCAGTGACCGGAGCTTGATGAAGTAGCCACGGGCGTTGAGCCAGGTGACGGCGCTCACGGCGCACACCGCACCGAAACCGCACAGCACCAACAGCACCACCGTGGTGATAACGCCCCGTTCCGCGGTCGGTGTCAGAAAGTCGATCGGTTGAATACGACCGTTGCCACCGTCCCGCACCGCGACCAACCGGTCCCGGACGCACCTGTTGAACGCGGTCCCGGCGTCACGGTCGCACCCGGCCCCCGTAGTGAACTCCGATATCCGCAAGTGGTCGAGCTCCGCTCCCGTCAGGTTCGCGCACTCCGCTCCAACCGCGTTCACCCGGCAGTAGTTGAGGTCGGCGAACTCGGCGTCGTCGTCGTCGTCGTCATCGACATCGGTACTGTTGTCGCCGCCGGCCACGTCGACGAACCGCCACGGGCCGCAACCGCACGACCCGATGAACGTGTTGCCGGTGATGTTCGTCTCGGAAGCTGCCCTCTGCAGCCGGACCGGAGGCGACCACTTGTCGCCGGCCGGAGACTGCAGGAAACTGTTGTCGCTGACGCGCAACGTCGTCTTCGTGGCCGACTCCGTTCCCGGGCTGAACGCGGTCGACTCGTAAAACGCCTCGGCCTCGATCTCCTCGAACGTGTTGCCGTGCACCAGCACAACGTGCAAGTTGTGCAGTACGAACCCGCGGCCGGCCACCCGCGTGAAAGTGTTGCCGTACAACTTCAGTTCTGTGGCCACCGCCACGGCCGAGGTTTCCACCGATTCAAACCTGCAACGGAAAAAAAATTGTCATATTACTCAGGTTTAAGGTGTCGTACAGATTTATCGTAATACACGCGTATATACGGAGTGATTGGATACCCCGTCGCCGAGCAGGACACCACCCTTCGTGCTGACCTAGCTGTAATGACCTATGGGATGGGGGGGGGCTTTTCAGCGGTCGTTCCCTGCTATAACTTTAGGGTTGCGACAGATTAATCGCCCCGTTTTATAGGTCAGCCCGTGCAGGTGGGTATATATATATATGTTCACGTAATAATATATTGTTTTATTTTGCACTGAAGGTAGGTATTTTATTATTATTTTGTAATCGTGTCACCGCGCACGCATTGCACTTCGGCGCGACGTAGAGCGCGTATAAGAATATAATATACGGGTTTTTTTTTTTTTTACACGACTATTACATTAACGCAATTCGTATCTTCTCGCCTTTTATTTATTTTTTTTTATCGTAAAAATACTATTTGGCGAAAAAAATATAATTAATGTCTGTGTACGAGCTCATACCGAGTGTTTATCAGTCGTTCAAAGACCATTGAGTTTTTTAGCTCTCAGAGATTTGTCATTTTTTTATATTATTTTCTATACGTGCGTTTTTCCCACAGTCCCTCTTCCGTCACTCGAGTGATGATACAATTACTGAAACAACTCTTCTAGTGCCTAAAGTGTATTGTGCAGTTGTAGCGGCTGCGTCGGCATAGCAATAACGTAGTCGAACACTCGATTTTCCATTAACCGTGCACAAAATTATGCAGAACAGAATAAATAAAAGAATGCATAGAGAGCGCGGAGCAGTGTGCATACACATCCATTGTTGTCATTACAACAAAATTCGTAGATTATACGCTCACTTCACGAAGTCTGGTGATAGATACTCTTCTTGACATATACCCTTTAAAAGCAAATCATACAGTGAAATGAAAAAGGGGAAAATATTTCAGAGAGAGAGAGATACAGATAGAGAGGCCTACTCATGCGTGTACACGCATCGAAGAAACTTTTTTGGCCATCATCCAATAAAGTCTTGGTTCGCAACTACCACGTGTAGTATTTGAAAAGATTTATAAAAAAAAATGTATGAATGAATATCTATATAAAAATAGCAATCACCAATATATAACAATAATTTTGTATCGGTATCACCGTTTCAGTATTTGCGAATGTTTTTTTTATTGGAATTCATTATGAAAAATAATATACTGAATGTTATAAATTATTATTATTATTATTATTATAATTATGAAATACGAATTTGCATTATTAAAATAATATTTGTCAACGATGCCATTAATCTTTTGGTATATTTATTATTTTTTAGTCATTATAATAATATGTATATACATTGTGCAGTCTGAGAAAAAAGTACCTGTAGCATATTAAGACGTAATAAATTTTACTTAAATAAATATCTGAAGTACGTTGTTATCTTTGTGTTCCATAGTTATTGAAACTTTTGAAGTACAAATTTATGTCCTTAAAGAACACATTATTTGCTGACTAATTCGTATAACCAGTATTTTTATATACATATAACTCGTATATGAAGTGTACACAAATGATAAATGTACACAACTTTATAATCAACTCAAGTCGGCGGCAAAAATAATTTTCAATATTATATAAGTCTATATATATTTACCATAATATTAATAAATATCAATATTAACAAATCATTATTACTAAATATATGATTTGATTTTGTGATAACTAATTAGGTTTTTATTAAAGGAAATTAACTGTTTTATTAGCATAAAATTATAGTTTAAAAACAAATGTATATGCAAGGTACTACACAATCCAATATTCAGTATAATAATTGATTTCGACGAGTTTTGAAATACAAGTAGCAACACACAATACGGTAGGTACTCTCTCTCTCTCTCTCTCTCTCTATATATATATATATATATATATATATATACTTATATATCATACATGAAGCGGGTGTTTTAGTAAACCGTCTTGGGGCGAAAACCGTTTTAGACACAATATAATGTATTTCATATACGCGTGTATATAGTTGTTCGCGTCTCAAGTATATGTATAGAAATGATGGCCGACAGTCGGTGTGGTATAGTGGTTGGAGGGCGACTACTACTGATTATTGATAGACCCCCGCGGGCGGCTCTCCGAGATCCTAGACCGGGGATTATATAAAGTGTACGGGGCTGTAAAACGTACGCGCCAGCTCGTCGTTCGAGTATGGACCATGGATAATGATTGATGGAATCGTTTGCGAAAGTGAGTGGATTCAATAACAGCGGAAAGCGAGCCACCCGAAGTTCCGGTCAACAGTGCGAGAGTGAATTCACAGGATTTCGTTTGAAATGGAACCGGCGAGGTTGTGCACATCCATTTATATAGATGCAGCTGGGAGAGCCGTATAGATGAGTGGTACACGACTACGATTTTCCGCAAGTAACGGTAAAAGCGTGCTCATATATGTAATGCCCCGAAAACGATACTTTCGAAAACGCGTTTTTCCGGGATATACTCCCTTTTGTCCTCGTCCGCAATTAAAGAGGTATAGCCCCGATGTGTATACATACATGTATAGTACCTTATACGGTGTAAACTCATTCCCATAACCGTAACCATTTGCAGGCTGTCGTTTTAATTCGATCCTATCGTTGTTCTCTATTCGCACACACCAACTATATAACCCGGGGCACTGCGGTTATAAATTAAAAATAAATAAATTATTAGTTTTCACCATGTTCGTATGGATTTTAAAATTATAAAATATAATTTTCCAATATTGTGTCACTGACATATTTACACAGAATGTACCGAGACTGTTTTTTATTCTTTTTATTGTAACTCGACATTTTTTTACTAAATATCGAAACCACTATACCTATATGATTGCAGCATTTAGGAGTATAAATAAGCAATACACCATAAAAACACAAAAATCGCTCAGACTCTATTAACTTTTAAGGTTAGTCGCTAATAGGTATATACGCATGTGAACGCTATAACCATCGATTCCTGAATCACGGTCCACGTAATAATACACTAATAATATGATACAATTATATAGAATACAACAAACCGATCCGCGTGAGCAGTGGCGTGTTTAGGAATTTGGTTTGGGGGGGGGGGGGAAATACGTTTTTAACAAACATTAATGGTCATTACCAATACTTTGATCAAAATGTTAGAGGTAAAAAAAAATTTTTGGGGGTGGATCTATCCCCCCTAATAACTCCCCTGCGCCTGAAGACGTTTGTAAATACGTATAGGTACTCTTCGGCCGACATGTACATCCCTTACTTCAGGGAGGGAAAATAATATAGCACGATAGAGACGTCTTATGCCGCCTCAACGTTTTACACAATTTATCAGCAGTCCACGAGCGTGTGCGTGTACAATAATAATAACAGTAATATAATGCACGTCTTATCTAATGCACTTTTACGGCGGGCCGGAGGGGGGGAGGGAGAAACGCTCGGCGACTCGAAAGCGAAAATCTCGTTAAGAAAACATTTTAGATTCTTGTCGCGTATAATGGATTGCTCGCGGTTTGATTGTATATTATTATTAATGTGGGTAAAAAACGGGTTCGCGCAAAACACTCGCCGCGCACACCGCGTGCCGGTCCGGGGTTAGGCCCACCGATAGTCGTCGTCGTCGTCGCCGTAAGTACCCCTATCATATTATCGTTATACATTTCAGACTTGTTCAAAGTTTGTTCGGGAACGAGAGCATAGAACATTATAATATTATAATATCGCGTTGTGTGTAGGTATGTGTAGGTGTGCTGGGGGGGGGGGGGCGCGTAGAGCGAGATGACGACCTGCAGATATTCGAGCGGAAATAAAAGTTTCGAAAACAAAAACTATGATTGTGCTCACCGCCGCAATAATATACAATCACTGCGATAATGGCGTAGCGAACATTATGGAGTCGGGCACCGCGGTTAGAAGGACCTGCAGCATCCGGCCAAAGATAATATGATGTAGGCGCGAGGTATGCCGATAAGGACTTTGTCGACCATAATGTTGAATTCGTTTTCGAGAGATATCTGCTGCAGCCGCTGCACTATAGATATCAGGATATACACCAATCGTCGTTCAGATCGTTGAATTTATACTGAGATTCTCGCGTCATCGAATAGCGGAATTATTATATTTCGTTCGCTCGTCGGGCGACTCTATTACGACCGAGAAATGGCTATATTTGTTAATGTCACATGAATAATGGAAACGATCAGCTGTGTTAGCCGATGTGCCGAGTGTGTTATAGGTATAGGTACACGAAATCGTCCGGATTGGAAATAAAATAATAACAATTTACGAGGTTTGATAAAACCTATTATAGATTACACGTCACCGTGATATTATTTTATACAGGCGGAGAGGTACCTAGCTGATAAACCGTCAAAACCGAAAATAAATTGCAACGTCAATATATACGGCTTATAGTGGTGGCGGTTTTGAGGAGTTCTGGCGACGAGACAAGCCGCACCAATTGGAAAAGTGATGGCAGCTTTAATTTCAGACGGATTTATTTAACCCTTATCATGGAGAACCGCGTACACGATTGATGTTGTGCCGTCGTCTGCGAGCGGTGATGAATTCTTAATGAAAACGCAATCACTAGATAGACGCGACTGCAGATTTCAGGTTGAAACCGAAAAAAGTAAAAATCGTAAATCCGTTTTACGATAATATTCCAAATAATAGTGGAATATGTTTGAAATCGTTAACAACAATAATATTATATCGTATCGCTCCAAAAGGCAGTGCATTATTGCATTATACATCACGGTACCGACGCTGGGCAAATGCTGCAGCATACATGGTTGGCCACCGTGCTCTTCTGTTTCTCTTTCTGCTGTTAACCTTATGGGAATAAACTGGAAAACACGGTGTCCCGCTATGTGTATATATACAATATATATTATAAATAATGTATTTTATAGTGCATATAACTGACGCCCGAGGGTTGGCGATATGATAACGTTTCAAAAACAAACAAACAGAC